GATTTGAAAATAGAAAATTATGATTTTGACTTATTTTAATAATACTAATAATTCCCCTGGACAATACACATAGTCCTGAGGTAGGTAGAGCATAATGAGTGTTTAGGGTACTAGACAACTGATATACCTAGATATTTCTTTATTTTAAATATACATAGCTACCTAATGTACATACAGAACACTCAGATCAAATAAACAATTATACTAATGAATACAAACGTTTGTACCGTGCGAGGAATCGAACCCGCGACCATCATTATTAAAGCGGTATGCTTAGCCACTATAGCATCGAGCCCATAATTTTTTTGTTAATAATATGTAATTATATTCGGAGTTTATTAATTCGTATACGTAACTACGACCCATGGTAGGGGCACCGGCAGCCACAAATTGCGGCGCGGCGTACATTTCGTTTGTGCTGAAACGGGAGAACGCTTCCACCTAATGTAATATGGTTTTAGTGGCAAAATTATAGCCAGGGCATACTGGCTCCCGTATTTACTGCCTATGTAGTACAATCCGATTGTGTTATTTACTACCTGTAGCCAGGGACGGCCCCAGGGTGTGGACAGCGGCCGTGATTTATAGCGAAAAAGTATTCCTTACAACGCTTTGATAAAGCAATTCTTTCAGTTTGTTTTTACTTCATTAATTGCTGAAACATTTAACAGTTTAGTCAAACAGACATTAATGTTTACATTTTCTCTTTATATAATCCTATATTGACCTTCTACAGTTTAATCATCATCATCATCATCATTTCAGCCCGGAAGACGTCCACTGCTAAACAAAGGCCTCCCCCAATAATCTCCATGACGATCGGTCCTGCGTTGCTCGCGACCAACGCTTTCCAGCGATTTAGATTCTAAAAAAAAGAAACTAAATATTGATCTCAAAAAGTAATCGTTTCAGAACTGACGAAGATATGGCATAATGTATACGTATATAATCAAAATGAGAACCATCTTAATGTCACTAGAAGAACAAAATACTGGTTTAATATTACCTCTATTTTGTCTTTTACATAATAAAATATACGAGTACATGTTGAAATAAAAAAAATATAACAATGTTTTTATTTATAAACCTTTGTTTCCACCACTCCACAATTGCTCTCCGTCATTCAAAAGATGATTGGAAGAAATTCCTCTTTTGATATAAGTCCTCCATTGTACTCATTCATTTCTTAAGATCATTGTATGTTTTTTACCTTAAAATTTGTTCGCAAAATACTTTTTTATATAATTGGAATGACAAATAACCTGACAAACCAATATGAGATATGTAGCAACCATCGTATACATTAACAACACGGATATCACGTTATCATGTAACACCTACCGAAATCTACCGTTAGTTTGAATGCTTTCAAACCAAGAAGTACTAAGAAGAAATTCAGCTCTTATTCTTCTCAACTAAGCTTGTACCATTATAAAAATCAAGTTGGACTCGTTCACAAGTATGACGGATGACCCAAACATCGTTGCACTCAGCCATATTAGAGGGAGCATTGACACCATATCTTGCCTTTTCTCTTATACTTTTACTACCGCATACAGAGGCGTACCTCTGTATCAACCATTTCGCAGACAAATATATACAAAGATTGCTTCAGTAGTAATATAACAAGCAAATTTCTTGAATAAGTATATTTTTACCCACAGGGATATCTATCTGGTTGCTTTATGTGGCTAACCACAGAAAGTAACCAGAAAGATATGCCTCTGCAATCTTAAAATCACTTATGACAATCGTTTTTCCTGGATGGGTTGAGTCAAGTAAGGGAGTACATATATAATTTTTTTATTGGGGGTTTGGGCTACTTTACCTGTAACACAGGTCTCAACCTGTATACATCTGTTGTGCTCGCCCTTATTCAAAGTTTGCTACCTAGACCCATGAGGGATAAGAATTGAAGGATATTCTTAGGAGCGTTGGTTTTTATCTCCTCGGGATATAGTGAAAACTTTCCAAAGGAGATGTTAACGCATGAGTGGGCTACAACCACATAGGATGTGTAGTGGCGTTTCCTCTTCTGCTTGACAAAATCTGCAGATTGATGTTAAGCTAATTTCGCCATGTGTTTATTCAGCTTGCAGTGTTCAGCGAGGGTCCTAGTCATGATGCATACATAATGTATATATTGTTTTTACTCAATAATTTGCTTCGCCCGAGGACGAAGTAACTAAAACTTGACTTACCAACTACCTCTCTGTATTATGCCATGGGAAAGTCGCCGTATGCTCTATAATGATACTTGAATCTTTCGTTTCAAATTACCAATTCATAATAGCTTGTAATGCAATATTAACTGCTGCACTTAAGAATATAGGTCTACCTACATTAGTAATAAATTGGAAACTTTCCGTCTACGTAACGAGCTGTCTTTATTACATTATATATGTTTTACAACGTATATAACTTTATGTTACACTTTTTTACGTATGTATTTTACGTATGTATTACGCTCTATCTATCTTCACGCTAGCTCCCCTTACGGCGTAGGTAGAGAGAAACGAATGGCATTGATTTACGTATAAAAAAATTAAGTTAATTGCTATTATAGGTATGGTATTCATTGTTATTATATATATTATAGGTAGCTATTATAGATATTGGATCCGTAGTTAATCTGGTAGATATACATATCTATATTTAAACATTCTACAGCTGTATTGGCCATTTGTACTAATATTTAATTAGGTAATGTTTTTAAAATTGATCGTTCTACTGCTTAAATACATATAAACAATCATACTCATGAATACAAAAATTTGCACCGTGCGCGGAATAGAACCCACGATCGTCGGAAGTAAAACGGCGTGATAAACCGCTAGACTACGGAAGCCGTCAAATTTCTTTTATACAAAAAATATAACAGAAATGTTCTGTGAAATAAAGGTATATAACTTTCCATGTTATTCATAACGTAACACGGACCGTTGCGTAGGTTAGACAATAAATGGCTTCCTTGTCTTGTAATAAACTAGTTTTTTTTATATCTAAAAAATTAGACAGCTAGAGCTAGCCAATTCTTGGAAAGAACATACAAATAAATAAGAAACACAATTTAGGTCCGAGGGCCGGAGAAATGGCTGGCCTTCGAACCCAGACAAATGATATCCGGACGGACAGTACCTTTACTTATTTGTATCCTAAAACTATAGTATAATATAAAACCAAAGCGTTTGTTTGTATGTTAAAAACTACCTATATAAACTTTGTACAAACTCTTCTTATCCGGTACCTCTATACACAGCGCCATCTAGTCCCAAGCTAAGTAGAGCTTGTGTTATGGGTATACTAGACAACTGAAAAAATCACATAGATATTTTTCATTTTCATTCTTAGTAAATACATACCAAATATATATAGAAAACACCCAAACAAATATATTTAAGAATACACAAACAATTATACTTATGAATACAAAAGTTTGTGCCGTGCGAGGAATCGAACCCGCGGTGTAACCACTAAACCACCGAGGCCATCGAATATACTAGTTCTCGAGAATGACAACGCATGAATATCACGTGCGTAGTATGATAAAGTGATGCCTGTGGTACTGTTCACGTATATACTCGTAATATATTAGCTTGTTTCCCGTTGCTTTGCTTTTTAACATCACGCTACAACCTTTAGAAGCTAAAAGAACACAAGTAATGCTAAGTAATCCGGTCGATGCGGCATTTCAACAACCAAGCGCAACTCCCATTTTTTCTTTAAATAAATTACGGATGTAACCGTAAGAAACAGTAGTAAATTCACATTCAAAAATCATTTATTCACGTAGAACATTTTACCCACTTATGAACGTCAAATTTATGTATTATATTTTTTTCCCTACCGTCGAGTTCAGTACATAGATCCAATTGAGAAGAACTGGCAAGAAACTCGATTGAATTACTTTTTTTTAAAGCCAGTTTATTTACAGTAAATATTTATTTTACTACTGAAAATAGCAAACAAAACTGACACTCCGTGTTAGATTAAGTATCCGTACAAAGAATAAATAAAAATCGATAGTGGACTGTATTTTAGAAAAGAAATAATATTAGATAAGGGAACAGAAATATGATTTCGCCTAGGTAGACGTCTTTCACACTCCGAACATCCAAACTTACTCACTTTTCTCATAAACGTCCCAATGTGCCTATAGCACACTTTATTGGCCTTGACCTCTAGAGTATATATTTTATTAAAAACATTTATAATAAATCATTTAATTCAGTAATTTTTTTATTTTAAAATAGAAAAAACACGTCCTTTTACTTCCACTTCTTATCTTTAAAGGATTTTTTTTATAAATGTGAAATTTAAATGGCCACACGTTTTTATTGGTGGCCAGTATAATTAAGTACCGTTTGCTCTAGAAAGCAAGTCACTGATACAACCTGCTTATATTAAAGTATTCGGAATAAGGCGCACTCCGTCTGATGATAAAGGGTATAGATAAGAAAAACATAGGGGCGTCTCGAATTGTCCCTTTGCTACCCCGCTGCGTTACCAATCTCATAGACTAAGATGTTTTGCAATTTACGGGACTGGTCACTACACGATGGGGACGCTTCGAAGGGTAGAAAAATGGGAAAATTATTTTTTCACCTGCGAATATATAAATAAAAATAAATTCAATTCAATATATTTTTATTCATGTAGGCTATTACAGACTCTTCTGATATGTTAAATCTAACGTTAGTTCGGAATGATTTCGAGATGAGAATAACTGATGCTCTGTTCGTAATTTTTCAAATAAATGTTGTACTTGTTTACAATATATATAATACAGATTCATTTTTAAATTCAAATTTGAGAGAATAGAGTGACCACCATATGCTATTGTAATCAGTATTCGTAATCAGAAGTGACCATTCCCCACAAGCAGTACCCGTTCACGAGTATGACGGATGAGATCGCCATCATTGCACTCAACTCAATATATCTAGTTACCAAGTTCCCAATATCATTATCTGACCTTGTTATTTCTTTGTTTGTTGCAGGAGAGCACATCTTAGAAGCTGCTTGGAAAAACTTAAGGATATGGTACCACTAGGCCCTGAAGCATCACGACACACCACATTAGGATTATTAACAAAAGCCAAAAGATTTATAAAGGTAACAATTTCATTAATTAATTAATTCTGTTAACGTAAAAGTAACGTTATAGGTAACAAACTTGTTTAAGGTCATTTATATACGTTTAAATTTTTTTTTATAATGTATATAAATATAATTTCAGAACGTATTTTACTTTTGTAACAGTACACTCTATCGCTAGTAGGTAAATAAGATATTTATTAAATGTTTCGTGGAGTACAAATCTCAAGCACGCTACAAAGTTTTCCTTGTCTTGAAACGATATGTTTGTAATTTGATCACCTCAGGCCCTGAGGTATAAGGATCAACTTGAATAATGACACATTATACTCGTACACCATATTGTACTTTATTTTCTGTTTAATAAGAACAAATTTTATTTAACAACATCTTGACAAAATCTGTTTCTACGAAGTTTAATTTAATTGAAATCGATAGCAATATTATTTGAATATTCCTATGGAAGTTCCCTTCTAACTCCACAAAGGGTAAGTTCTTAAAGTCAGTGTCGTTGCCGACTTCCCGTTCTACGCAATAGTTAGAAGAACCTTCCATAAACAAAGGGCGTAAAGGGTTCGCACGCTTCCGCCCGGCGCCGTTTCCGGCCCGCCACTTCCTGGCCCCTCCCCGCCGCACCTCCGAGCCCTTGGGACCGCCACTCTCCGGAGGCGCTTTTTTTAAGTTGCGTATGCTTTCAGTGGTAATGGAAAATGCTTTGTTACTACAGTTTGATGTCGCGGACAGGTTTCCTGTTTAGCGTTCGTTATGTCATTTTTTTTGCATGGAAACGTTTCTGTTGTCGCCATTACTCTGGATTGCGATGGTTGCGGAATGGAGCGTCTTTGTTCCCGCTTAGGGATGATACGGACGAGTTTGTCTCAATAAGGAAAGGAATATTTTGGTAAAAAATATTTATTATTCTGTCTTGTGTGGATATATTATAATTAACATTTTTTTGTTGTTTTTTGTTCAGATTTTAATATTAATCATCTTTATTTCTCTCAAATAATGAATTGTTACAATTGCTGCTTATAATAGAATTAAAAGGTTTAATCAAGACAAAACGGTCTACATTTCAGCCTATATCGGTAAATTATTAGAACAAAAAAAAATTGCAATTGATTGAGTTTTTTTTTCTATTCGACGCGTCAAAGTTATAACTTGTTTGAAACAAATGTTTTGTATGGTTCATTCTTTATATATTAAGAATCTTTCTTCTTAATTCGAAAGTCCTCCAAACTAACGGACACATTTGATATACCGACGGAACTATCCGAAATTATCGTAATTTAAAAACCCAACATTACAAGAATTCTTTCAGATTCTTTTATTTCAAAACATCGTAACCACAGTATTTTTAAAAAATTGAAAATTGATATGTATTTAATCAATATTAAACTTTCTATCTCTATAAATATATATGTAAGTTATGATTTTTTTAAACAGTTGTGTAAAGTTAAATTTTTCAAGTTAAGTACAACTATTCCGTTTTCTTCCATCGATGTCATAAGAGTCAGAAATAGACCTACACGAATAAAGTTATTTTGATTTGATTTGTACTGCTAGTTACTTTTGTACAGTTCAAACAAACAAGTACTTTATTATATTGATATTGATAAATAAGTCGTATAAACCAACTCCGGCAATATCGCCTCCACTACGAGTCGTAAAATACACAAATATTGCTGTTTTTGCTTGTGTTTACTTTGATTTTCAATAATGTAAACACATGAGTAAAATTAACCGGATAAATATATTGGTTTCTTTTATTACTTACCTTATTTAGATAGTTATATATACTTTTAGTAAAGACTATACATATACATACAACCCTGTTACACCCAAAAGGGTCGTGAGTTTAAATATGATCGACCCATAACAAAATCATTGTTTGTATTATATATATTAAAAAAAATGATAAAATCGTTTTGTACACTTGATATATTTATTGGTGATACCGCGGAATGTTCGAGAAGAATAATGTGCATAAATTTATAAAAAAGAAACATTATCGCCTTTCTATGATTGACGTTCTATTTTCAAAATGAGTTCTTTTATTTTTATAAAACATTAAAAGGCTTTTGCAAAAGAAACCTATAATAAAACCTACCTTTTTAACATTAGTATTGATATAGAGTCTAAATTGTATTATAGATAAGAGATAGATATCTATATAGATATGTTAGGTCCCTACGTATGAAATTGGCGTTTTGTCGTGATCACCACTGACCGTGACCACTTTGATCTCAAATATCTCCTCTTTGAATTCCAATTTCAAATTTATACAGCTCATGCATTTATTTTTCGAAAACCGTAATTCATATGTTTTTTCCATCTCTAGTTTTTTCTTTGCGTCACTCAGTTTACAAAATGGAAAACTTAAAATATCGCGTTATTTACGAGTCTAAGTTCCGCCGTGGCTATGATGTGTATGGCGGTGGTTCTATATGTGACCTAATATATATATAATCTTACTAATATTATATATGCGAAAATTTGTGAGTATGGATGGACGTTTCTTACTCTCACACAAAAATTACTGAACGAATTTTGATGAAACTTTACAGTAGTATAGCTTATACAGCATAATGACACATAGGCTATAATTTCATGCGGGTGAAACCGCGAACTCAGCTAGTGTATAAATATTGTGAGGTTTATGACTAGAAATGAATAAATGGGCATCAAAATGACAGACAAATTTATAGCAAGACAAACATTATACGCCACTAGTATCGTTTCACAGTTCGGACACATAAAGCGATTGTCTGCGAGCGTCCGAGCGGTATGAGAGATGGCCGGACATGCCGGACAGTCCGGACGCGGCGCGCATTCGTCACTACGCCATTGTGCCTTTGGCTTTAGTATGCTGCCACAGCTGCGAATTTATGTGATAAGCGATTTACAACTTTATCACTATTATCATTAGATTTATAATAACTTTGTTTTAGGTAGACTTCGTGCAAAGTCGTCTGTGTTCTAAATGGCGCTGAGACTAACTCTGAATTTTCCAATTCAGTTCCATTTAGTCTCACGCTAAGCAGGGCTTGTGTTACTAGACAACTAATAGTATACTTAAATGCAATTTTTATTAAGTATATATATATATATGTATATACGTAATACACATAGAAAGTATCCAGACTGATATAGTATACACAGAAATTACCCGACGATATATATAAATACATACTCAGCAATATTAAAATTTATACCAAAGTAGCTGTTCCCGGGACTTCGTCCGAGTGGAATTGAACTTTATTTTTCTAAAATAAAAGTAGCCTAATTTACTCATTATTACATCAGGTACCTTCCAAAAAAGCCATATCAAAATTGGCTCAGCCATTTCAGAGATTAGCCGGTATAAACAGACAGTTAGACAAAAATTGTAAAAAATATTATTTTGGTGTATGTACCGTATTTATATTCATATGCATGTAGTAAAACACGATTATTTCAGTATTACAAACAGACACTCCAATTTTTTTATATGTATAGATAAAAGAGAGAAAAAAATACGTAAGCTAAGACAATTTACACAACATCATGTAGTCCGAAGCTAAACATAGCTTGTGTTATAAGTACTAGCCGACTGATATAAATACATAAACAGACACGCTTTCGCATTTAGTAATTAGAATAGAACAAAATCATTTATTCAAATAAACTTAATTTAAGCATTTTTGAATAGTCGTAACATTTTTTTGTCTACCGCTCCTTCGGAAAGCTGTCTCATCACAAGAAAAACGAGCAAGAAACTTGTGTGTTGCTCTTTTATATAATCCTTGTAAGTTTACATTTACAAGTCGAAACGTGTGAATACAAACTACCAACCAACACTAACTTTTTGGGTCAAATATAAATATACAATAAAATGAAATCAGTCGTAGTGATATGAGCCTGTAGACCAGACCAAGCAGCACTCGATTTAATAATAATATTCGAATCAAATAGTAAGCAATGTCTATGTTATTCAAATTCTCCGTCTTTTTCACATAGGTATTATTCAAATAATTTTGTAAGTTTGTAAAATACTCATACAAATTTATGGGGAAGAGATATTCGCGCCTCGAATAAAATATCGAGGGAAATTTGAATTTGGAATCTCTTTTTTTTTTCATTACGCATATTATTTCAAGGTAAAAAAACTTTTTGGTTCGAAACTTCTTGGGAGTTTAAACATGACTTGATAAAATGCTTCTATATTTTCCTTATACGCTTAAGCCATGTATTTCTCCCATAGGCATTCTTGGGCTGTTCGGTCTGGTATACCAGAGGTATCCATAACGTTCCTCATGAGTAACATGACCATTTTATAACTTGTAATGATGCTTAATTCAATTAATACAGATAAAATAAGGGTAGCTGTATAATAAATTATAGCATATCTATCTACCACGCAATATTCTTGCTCTGTCTAAGCGCAAATATCTTCTTGATATGATCTTGATAATCATTTGAGTTTCTTGTCTGAGACTATTTTCTGAACTAGGAAATAAAAGAAAATTAAAAAGTGTTATGAGAACGTCAGGTGCTGTCTGAAATTTGTCTAATTCAGAAAATAGCCAAGAAACTCGATACTAAATAAAAGTAAGTATACCCGTTAAACTCGTGCTGCTTGTAGGGACTGGTCGTTCTGATAACTATAACTAATTTATTTTGTTACACAAGTTACTATTCATTTATTTATACCAACTTTGCTTTATCAGTTTTTATACACACAAAATTCTTAAGAATATACGAAACAGTGTGTATTTAAAAGAGCAACACGCGAGTATCCTCAATCTTCTTGTAATGAATGAGAGGTAGAAATGAAAGAATATGACTTTATTTTCATATGTTTTATATTAAAATTATTTGAATAAAGATTATTTCTATTTGTATTTCTAATCCATCGACTCTATGTCGCTCGTATACATCAATGTCTGCACAAATCGACATGAAATATCTCATTTTGTTTCGGCAGCGACATTAGTCCACCCCAGAAGGTTGAGTGGGTCGTACATCACATATATGTG